CTCTTAAAGCGGTCAAAGAGCCAGCAAGGGCTGCGCAAGAGGTAAATCAGTTCTCAGGGTAAAGGGGATGTAAAAAATACGTTAAAAGCATTCCCCCTTCATGCTGGCTCTTGATGTTACTCACTACCAAGCACCTTAATGTGCCAAGCCGGCTTCAAAGTGCAAAAGGCTCCTGGAAGCCACTTGCCCATCTCTGCTCTGGGGAGTATGTGTGGTAAGCATATTTTCCAAACTCGTGTCGGTTTTGGCGACTTAAAAGCGCAAAAAATGGCGTTGCTCTGTATTTGTTGGGTTCTAAGCACAACGCCTTTGGAGAAAATCTGCGTTCTAGTTATCATTTTGCCAATAGTGGCTGAAAAAATAGTTCCAACAACTCGACCACTGCAGCGTCAATCAAGGTGCGGTGGCTGCAATACAGGAGAAGGTTGAGTACTTAGGAATAAGATAAGGCACATGTAACAACATGTTCATCTACTTAGACAATCAAGCGGCACTCAAAAACCTTAGCAGACTACTGTATGTGAGCAAAACTCATGAGGTCTTTTTTAGTGTCACTTCCTCTTCTCGGCGGAAAGAAAAACTCTAAAGCATTCTTCTTGCATTTATTTCAATCAATGGAATTCCACAGACAAGTGCAATAAAAAATAAACCAAGAATTTGAACAATCTTAGCCTTAAACATTTATTTAGACGAAGAAGTACCAAAATTACTAATTTTTTCAATGCCACTCAAAAAAATCATGATTGTTTTTTTAAATAACTTTAGGCAGTTTTCAAATATTCATATTGGAGACAATGAAAGCTGGAATCAAATACACAAAATTTGTGAAGTTTCAAGAGTGTGCCACCCATATATGTAATAGTTCTATATTGCTAGTACAATATGATCGCAATGAGTTTTCCATTCGTATTCAAAGAAAGACAGCCTATGAAAATTTTTGTAATTGTAGAAGTATGCGTGTATATCCACTAGAACTTGAAGGGAGATCTCCCAATGTGAGGAATAAAAGACTACTCCTTTTGGCCCGATTTCGGAGCAATAGGGGGGATTAGTTGGTTCTGACCTCCTTTATAACTCGCTTAGGAGTCAAATCGAAGATCTCCTAAGTGAGCAACAAAAGAATACTCCCATAGCCATGATTTTGGAGCAATAAACGATTTTTGCCGATTTTGTACTTCTTTATTACTCGTTTAGGAGCCAAACGGGAGATCTCCCAAGTGAGCAATAAAAGAATACTCCCTGAGGCATGATTACGGAGCGATAACTGAAATTTGTCGGTTTTGTACTCCGTTATTACTCGCTTAGGAGCAAAAAGCGATGTCTCCTAAGAGAGTAATCCGGGAGTATTCCTTTTGATTGATAGGGGAGCTATAGGCACCTCGTTCAAAAGAAATTGCGTATTATTACAAAGGAGGTACACCGTACCCACCACAGCAAATACTCCTTAGTAGGGGATGTCTGAGGCCTGTGGATGCACACTGGGTCTAAGGCAAGGTCTTGGACTTCACCAGAGCCCACTCCTCTATAGAAACCAAAAAGAAACTTCCAAAGATATACTGCTATGAAACGCACTTGAATATGTCAATTTTGGCGTTAACCGTTTTGACCGTCTACAGACGGTCATTAGAAAACACTGTAAATATCTATATAATTTTTGTTTAATTCACAATAAAGTACTGAATTATGAAAATAAATAATGTTTTCTGCTGCAAAAAAAATTTTCAAGTCTTTAGAAAAAAAATTATTGAATAAATACCGGAACTACAAAATGTCTATTTATCACAGTAATTTATTTCACCTTTAACACTGACTCACAACTTTAACTGACCCGTGTACTCAAAATATAAAACACAAAGAGCATATTAGTTTGAATTCACAAAGTACATAACCACTAAAACCCGTTGTTATGTTTCTTAATATTGCTATCTAATTTTGGGAACATTTATTAGGAAAAAAGCAATGACCGTCTACAGACGGTCATAACGGTAAGAGGACTAAGCAGTTTGGTCTCCAATTGGAAGGAGTGCCTCAGCACGCGAACATACCAATCAACGAGAAGGTGGACGGACATGCAAAGGAGGATATCGTCACCTAAGGGTGAAAAGGTGCCAAGTCCATTTTTTTTTATTGTTCAGGAGAGGCGAAAAATTTATATAGTTTCGTATTACCTGCCACTCAGCTTCAAAAACTTAATTTTGGAAAAAAATGGACTTGGCACCTTTTTACCTTTAGGTAGCGATATATCTATTAAACCAGCAAGTGATAGATGATTACGCGTCATCATTTGCAGCAAGACAAAGTTCAAGTGGCTAGAATGAAAGGAGAAATAGACCAAGGGTCTTCCCAAGCAGGGTAGAAGGGACTTATCAGAAGTTTCAGAAATAAAGAAGAGCCAGAAACCGTGCGGCACCGAATGTTCCGAACTCTGCAGAAGAGAACGAAAATGCATGGACTAAAAAATTTCTCGGGGGCTTAACCGCAATAGCAAAAGGAGGAAAACCGCAACTTTAAGGTTTCGAAGACAACTCACGATGTTTTGAGTAGAAGGGTTTTCACGATCCGCGTGATATCACAACGGACCTGGGTATGCTGGTGTAGTCACTGGCAGTTACTTAAGCCTAACCTAACGGAGAGTGGAGTGTCTTAAGTAAGAAATTCTGTTTATTTTTTCTTAAAAGTTTGGATTTTCCTCAAATTTGTAGTGGTCGTCTTGATTTTATTACACAAATGAAGAGATCTACAATTTTACATCACCTCCCAGAGGCAAATGGGAGAAGCTTTTTCAAAGCAGAAGTATACTAGGAGTAGGGTTGTTCGACTTCACTAGAAAGTCGACTTTCGACTTTTCGATCGACTCTGTACAGTCGTCTTTAAAAGTCGACCGATCCACGAAGAAAAGTCGACTTTGTTCGACTTTTTTCGACTTTTTTAATAAAAAGAAAATGTATGAAGTATACTCTGCATTTAACTCATATATTAGCTATAAATATAAGAGTCAGAATACGCCAAAAATATCATGATTTATTAGTGGTCTTTAGAATAATCTGTAATTTACAGATCTATTCTGCGCTGGTAATAAAAAGTTTGTAACCGGTAAATAAAGTTTCTGTCAATTTTTAAACCCTTTTCGCATTCTGTGTACTCTTGTAACCGGTAAATTTTGTTACCATCTCATAAGCTCATAACAAAGTATTGCCCCGTGAAATATGCAATACCAGAATTTGCACAATTCTTCATAGCTGAATTGCTGAATATTTTAACTGCATTACCAACGTTCCTAGAATCGCGGTGACAACACTGGTAACATTTTTTGGTAATAAAAATTTCCGGTTACAATATCTTCGGTAACGTGCAGAATAGACCTGTTAGTGAAATTCAATGCTAGGTAAAAACAACAGACACTAAAGGATTTTTAAATATTTTGAAAATTGTTCCAGTTATACAGCATGAAAATGTTGGTTGTGAAGGTTTTCAAAAATTATATTTTAGAAAAATAAGTTAAAAATTTTTAAATTTTCACAAAAAAAAATCTAAAAATTTTTTGAATCGATATTTGGTAATTACGGACAACTTTTTGAAAAATGTGGCCTTCCGATTGAGCAGAATTGGCGGGTATTGGTATAAATATACAAAAGTGCCACTTTATAATGAATAAATATGGGAGTAGCCCAGACAGCTAGTGGATTGGGACTATCCGCATTGGGACTGATGTCGCATATTAACTGGAATCCTACCAGGAACGTTTTTAGCGGTGTTTAAAATGTTGTACCTTACGGATTGGTCAAATTCGAACCAAAAACTGTATGTAGAAACTTACATAAACTCATGCTGAAAAACTTTCTTGCATGAAATTTTTAAAATAAATACCTATTTTTATCTTACCTCATTATTAACTGAAGATTGTGGAGACAAACGATTAACAAATTTGAGGAATTGGTTTTCGTATAGTAATTTTACGCGCTGCTCTTAAATGATTTGACAATGTTGTTGTACTGTCATTAAAATTCATTTTTCTACCACACTTTTCAAATTTCACTTCAGTTTTATTGGCAATTTTTTTTTAAATACGACCAAACAGCACTCCGCGCCCTTGTTAGAAGATCAGTTTTTATATGCAAATAAATTAAAAAAAGTCGAGAGTCGAAAGTGAAAAGTCGACTTCAGTCGACTTCCATAAACTGAAAGTCGATCACTAAAATTCGACTTTCAGGAGTAAAAAGTCGAAGTCGACCCTCCCTAACTAGGAGGTTTGCCATGGCCTGCTGAGGGGCCATCGCTGTTACCAAAAAACTTTTTCTAATTAAGCGTGTGGTGGTACCTACCTTAATATTCAGCCAAAAGTTTTCTTTAGATTTTTCCCGAGATCTTTTAAGATTTTGTCAGAATATTTTAGTGTTTACTCCTGTTTTGACTTTTGGGGTATTTATTATACGTTCTTCGGTGCCCTTCATGTTTTATTTTTCATGACTTTGTCGGGAAGTTTTGTGGATTAAATATAGATTTTTTCGGAATTTTATTTGGCGGGGCTTTTCGGCTTGTTCGTAATTATTTGGGATATTTTCAGCTTTCTTCAAGGTTTTCCGACACTTCTTTGCCGTGTGGGTGCACACTCGGTGGAGTCTTTTTCTAAAGAATATTTTCCAAGAAATATTTAAGCATATTTTCCGACTGAATTTCAATGTTTATTATTAAATATTGTAAAATTTTTTTGTTGTTTGAAATTATTAAATATTTACTTAGCTATTATAAAACTATGATTAGTCAGTATAAGACGAAATTTCTTTCTTAAGAGGTACTTATAACAAAAATTATATAAAAATGTTGAATATGAAAATCAGGTATTGTTTCTAAAGCTTTAAGCAGATTCCTTTGCTTTAATAAATAGGCTGTATTTTCAAAAAATTATAAATCAAATCTCAAAACTAGAATCTATTCAATGTTTCCATACACGAAGTTCAAGTTTCAAGTTTAAATAGCTAAGAAAAAAAAAATTTACTTGGAAATACTTTTTCAAGAGTTAGGCAATTTTCCGCTTTGCTTGACGAATGATTAGCAGTCTTGATAAATTTTGATAGGGTATATCAAAGAGTAAGGTAAAAAGTGTTGAAAATAACACTAAAGTAACCACAACTCCAATGTATTCGAATAGCTGTAAGAGAAAATTAAAAACAAATCAAAAATAAAATGGTAACAGCAATTGATTGGAATCCGTCATACTCACCACATTCAAAGGATTGGCGTACAAATTCGATTGGCTAAAACCTGGCAACGCAAATATGAAAATTGGATTCAACATAAATATTGCATAAGAAACTTGGTTGAATTTCTCAAACACAGTCGACTCGATGTAGCGAAAAAACCAACGCATTTGGCCATACGCATTGGACATACTCAAAATACTACACGCCAAGCTGAAGATAATCCGTTCCAATAGCAAAATTGAAGTGGCTGCCAGTGGCGAAAGATTCGTATAGGCTGGCTTCAATATACAGCCGAGCACTACTAGCGGCAGCAAATAGCCAAACAATTGCTGCATAATTTTACTCAAAGCAAATGGTAGTCGCCGCTGCTCTACGAACCACCAGCCGGCAATGCTGCCGCAAATGTAGGCCAGAATGCGCGACCAAGGATTGGTGTAGATTTCTGTCAAATAGGTAAACGTGGATTCGAGTGTGTGATCGAAGTTCAATTTGAGGCCGACGACGTCGGTGTTCAAAATACTGGCGAAGACGAGCGTGCCAAGGCAGAGTTTTGCGCGACGCAGGTGTCTGGAGAAGAAATTAGAATACGAGTAGTTTCAATTTGTTATTACATTCAAACTTTACAAAAAAAAAAAAAAAAAAAGTTACTTGACATATGTGAAGAGCAAAACTGTGGCCAATATTGAAAATTGCATGTCGCATGCCAGCGACCGGGTCCACAGCGCACAAGCATCATTGTGATCGTAGAAATTTTGTATGAAGAATACATTTCGCCACCAATATTTTGCGCAATTCACTTGAATTTTGTGTTCGATGTGAAATAAAGTGATGTTGTCGAACAATGCCGCACCAAAGTCTGACATGGCGATGACTAGGAAATACATGGGAGCCAGTCTGGGAAGCACATAAAAATGGTTAGGTCTTAGGGTAAAAATGTTGATACTTGTAGCAATAAATTTTTAAAAATATATAATAAATCTAATTTGTTGTCAAGAGATTTATGTAAGTATTATCTTGTAAGCATTAGCGGAGATTTTTTTTTTTTCTGAAATATACCGTTATATGCGCCGACGGTTTGATGACAGGAGATACCTGATCTATAGTGGATTTGTCAGGAATAAAGCCACACTGATAAGGCCCGATAAGTTCGTTGACGGTAGGCTTCAGTCTTTCACATAATACGCTTGATAAAACCTTATAACCTACGCTTAGATGGCTGATCCTGCGGTAGCTGGCGCGTATGGTGAGGTCGCCTTTATTTTGGATTGGGCAGACCACACTTAAATTCTAGTCGTCGGGCATGCGTTCATCTGACCATATTCTGAACTAGCAAATGCCTGGCTTGCTTCGCGACGCCTTATAAGAACTTTTACGTTGACCAATACAAAAATGGGGTTGCTATACAAAAACGGTTTGTAATGTAAAATTTATTAGTTTAGGTTGAAAGGACTAAGGCGCAGAACCTTGCTTACTCATAGGCCAAGAATAATAGCGCTGAGATAGCATTTGGGTTAAGTACTAATATTCTTCGATGTTATGAGCTCTTATTTCCACCTGTGAGATATCTGTACGTATTGCAAGGTTTGCCAAGAGTGCGTAATCTTCTATAATCCTCCTGTTCCCAGAATGAAAGTTTACCCGTTCAAACGGGGTCATTGATATTCCTACCGTATTCTTCTTAATCATTGATATTCCTAGCGTATTCTTTTTATCATAAAGTTAATACCCGTTACTCCTGGTCATAAGATAAAGACGGGGTCTCTAAATATCTCGTCTCCGGCGCCATCTGTCGGCACCATTTTTTGCGATGCAGAGCAGAATTTCAAATTCATGTGACGTATGATTTCGAAGTTATGGTTGATTAAAGATGTCACGCCTATGGGAGGTGCATCGCCCTTTGTCAGGTTTCATTTTTTTTATACCCTAGGTTACGTCCGAGGTCATTCTCTATATACCAGTTAAAGCCCCATGAAAATCCATTCAGTAGTTCCGGAAGTTAGTGTAACAGAAAATACACTACTGTACCGATGACATCATCCAATGTATGATACAGAATCAGTAGTTTACATAAAAGATTCCTATTGAACATTATCAGCAACCAAAACATTCCTATTGAAGATTATCAGCAACCAAAACATTCCTATTGAAGATTATCAGCAACCAAAACATTCCTATTGAAGATTATCAGCAACCAATAAACAAAAGAAACCAGAGCCTATAAATAGAGGATTAAGCATAGAAATAAGTTAGTCTTCTATTATACTGAAGCATATGAACTTCAGGTTAGAATTGATTTAAGTACATCTTGGTACCAATAAAATTATACTTATTTATGTACATCGAGAGTATGAATTTAACTCGGAGATTAGTGAGTTCAAACAGACAAACAATCTACAGTTTTATTATAGTATAGATTTTTTTTTTTTTTTTTTTTTTTTTTTTTTTTTTTTTT